GATGGGAGCAAGCTTTGTTTGGGCTGAAAATGCCTTGGGGTCAGTGTGAAAGGGATTTATGACGATCCGGTGATCCCCAATGCCAAGCGTGTGTAGCAAGTTACACGGGTAGTTTGTTTAAAGATCAAACTTTGCCCCAGTATCTTTCACCGTGATGATCCTCGTGCTTTGGAAGCAAGTATCGGGATAGGTTTGCTCTTCGTATCTTCTATCATATCGTGGAATGGAAATTACTTTAAAACGATGGGATTTGAAATCTGTTGAGATTTGAATTTGATTCTATTTTCGAAATGCAATATCACGACGTAGACTGTGTCTAACCGGATCTAAAAGAACAATGGAAAAATGGTTATGCACAGCTCGTCGAAATCTATCTGTTTGTTAATTTATCAGATATCGAAAGAAAAATATGTAAAGGTATTTTCCGGAGAAAAGAAAAGTATCATTTTCCATTGAAGTTATAAGCTAGATCGATTCTTTTTAATTTTTTATTACGAACGTCGTAAGACCCTATTGAACTTGTATGAAGAGAACAACTGAGAAACATTTTCTAAAAATATTTTTCACCGTTCTACATTGAAGTTTTCTAGGTTAGATTGATACTGTAATTACGCTTAGTGGAGGAAACCCATTTTCCGCGTATTTCGAGAATGATTAGGGGGTGTACAAGGGTGTACACAGGTCGAGAGAAAGAGTGGAAGGTTACACAGAAGCGAAATTAACCGAATTTCTGGCTTTTTCGTCTAAACAGACGCGATCGTAATATCGTAACGGTTTGTCAAGGAACGAGATGTCCCGAGGGAAATCATCTTGCAAGTGCGGTGAGGTCGTCTTCTTATCCCTTGCGCACTGGATAATTCTTTTCGTTCTCTCGTGGAAGATGAACCGTTCCGCGTGATCGTTATCTTCGTGCATGCTTCTTTAATATATCGATCATCCATTTAGAACCAATCACATTTAATCTACCATTAGGGACCATTTCGATTCTCCTCCTCTTCGAACGATCTAGAGATATCTGTCTTCCTCGCTCGTAAATTTTTCTTCAGCTCGATCCCTTTCTTTTCTTTCGTTCGACGATCATTAACCTCCACGATTCAGAATCTGAATTTTTCCTTGTAATTTGCGACTTGAAATCACCTCACCCATTTACGATTCTATTTCTATTTTAAAAATCGAATAAAAATATATATATATTATATTATATTATCCCCTGTCCCATTATTTTCTCGATGCATATCCCATAATCTGTGATTCCACGCACGCGATGTATCTCGACCGCCATTTCGCATTGGGGAACTAGGGCAGACATTGGACTAAGTATACGAAGTATAGAGACACGTTTTACGATGTGATTTTACGCTAGAAGCCCGCGGGTCAGGATTCTGCAGGATCTGCGCGCGCAACCGAGCGCCTATTGTAAAGACAGCTAGTTAGATTTTTGAGGTTGGTACGAGTGTGCCAAGTTGGCTGCCAAGTCGAGATCATCGACGAGGTCGTGGCTCTTACGGAGTTATTAAAAGTTCTCCTGAGCCAGCAAGCGACACTCGATAAGAATCCCTGCCCCCCTTTTCCCTCGAACGATACCGAATAAGAATAGCAGGGGGAGGAGGTTAGATAGTAACTAGATGGCTCGAGGATAACGCGAGTTTGAATAGAGGAAGGCTCTACTTTATGAATAAATGCGGTTTCTCTCGAACTCCATCGGGAGGGTTAACCAGTTAGCCTAAATCCAAAAGTCTTTGTATCTTATTAAAACTTTTCTCCGCTCAACCGAGATTGGCATCTGTCTACGATGTTCCCTAGTAAATTACCAGATGCACTAGGATTACAAAGAAGATCAGATGTTAGCTAAGAGATAGGACTAAGTTTGCGAATAATCGTTCTCTCCAATTAGTGATTCACTCTATATGCTCGTTACGAAATAACCTCGACTATTTTTTTAAGCACAACAATCCGTTTACGCACTAGTTAGTTCTCTAGTTAGTTACTAGATACGCTAGGGTTGAAAAAAAAGACCAGATGGTAGGATAAGGTCAAGTTTGCGAACAACGAGATTTCCCTACGAGGCCTATACGCTCTCAAACCGTTCGAGGTCGAGCTCGTAAATAAGCAACGCATCAATTAACCTCAAACCACCCTCGATCGTCTTTACACAAGAAAAATTGCAAAGTTTCTAGAAGTAAATTCGAACGAGCTTCGTGCTCGTTCTTTTCTTAAAAAGTTACTTCTCTTTCCCGATTTCCGTAGTTTCGGTCGACTTCACGAATTTAAGGATCCCTGGATCGCATACAAAAATACATACCGGCGCATACACGATACGTAACGTAACGGCGATCGTCATTCGGTCGTGAGGAAAATCGATCAGCGATAAAATGGTGGCCGGGGACACCGTTTATAACCCTGTACGGCTCCTATCGTCGTCTTTGCCCCCGTGTTCTCTAGAATCCCTATCCCATCGTGCACACGGGGGTAAAAGGTATTTAAAGGCATCGACGTGTCGTCAGAACGTTGTGCACCGTGTGTCGCCAGGAAACTTCGCTTTGAAGGCTCATCGTTGCTCTTGCACGCCCTAGTTGCACGTCGCCGAGCGACCGGCTCGATTCAAGGCCGACACTGTCACTCGACCACCGTTTCTGCGTCAGTGGCTTCTTCCGACAAGGGGTTTCTCTTAGGCCTTTTCAATTTTTTTCTTCTTCTTTTATTTCCTTTCTTTCTGGATCTGGATTTCGAGTGACTCTGGTTTCAGATTTTTTTTTTCTTTCCTTTGTTTTTTAAAGAATTTTTCTAAGGGTTGTTATATAATTATATATCCTCGCGTTTCGCGAGAAAAAGATGAATTTTGCGATAAGCAAACGGATGGTTAGGGTTAGGGTTGTTCGTCCTCTTTGCGATTAAATTTAGTGGAAGCACCTTGCACTCGTGCTTTTCGTTAATTACTTTTTAACTTTCTTCTTTTTTACGGTAAGCTGCGGGAGGAGAGGCTCGAGCGGGATGTAGGCTAGATAATTAGTCTCGTAAAATTTATTACGCGTAAACGGGTGAAGCTACGTACTTTCTTGTTCGTTATGCAGGAAATTAATTTGGATGATAAAAGGGGTTGCAGACTTTCTTTTTTTTTTTAGACTAGTTACCTTGATATAACGTTTTATTCGTTTTTGTTATTGTAAAGGAGGATAATAATGATTATCTTTTTCTTCTCCTCTTTGAAGAATTTCCTTGACGTAATTAAGACGAAAGTTGATTTACTTCACACTCAAGTCAATTGTTAAACTCTATTTTACCACGAATTAAAAAAAAAAAAAAAAAAAAAGAATTTTTTTTTTTTTTTTTAAAAAAAAAAAAATGAATATTTTTTTTTTTTTTTTTAAAAAAAAAAAAATGAATATTTTTTTTTTTTTTTTTAAAAAAAAAAAAATGAATATTTTTTTTTTTTTTTTTAAAAAAAAAAAAATGAATATTTTTTTTTTTTTTTTTAAAAAAAAAAAAATGAATATTTTTTTTTTTTTTTTTAAAAAAAAAAAAATGAATATTTTTTTTTTTTTTTTTAAAAAAAAAAAAAAAAAGAAATATTCATTCTATCTTCTTTTAAAACGCAAACTTTGAATCAAATCGAAGTTTAGCCCCTTATTGTCTCATCACGCTGCTTATACCAGCATTTTTTCCCCTTAAATTTCTTTCAGCCTATTACATTGGCCAGGGACGTAAACAACGGTAGAAAAACGAAAAATGGAGGCCTTAGGAAAAATAGGTTGAGCAGCGTGTCCTTTGCCCGTTGCAGCGTGCAGGCTTTGTGCAAGGCGAGCGAATAACGATGACGTTAGCCGCAAGAATGGCGGAGCGATTAAAAAAAAAAAAGAGAGAGAAAAAGAGCGCCGGTCGACTTTTCTTTCCCTCCTTTTATTTTCGCTTTATTCATTCTCGTCTCCCGGGTAGACGATAAAACTTTTCCATGCTGGTCTCCGTCCACGTGACGGATATTCATTAAAAAAAAAAAAAAAAAAAAAAAAAAAGGACGAAGGCCGCCAATCCATCTGACGAATGGAATTGTAATACACGATACGTATCGCCGAACGAATCACCCTCAGGTTCTAGGATTCTATCTTTAGGATGGAGGAAATTTCACTCGCGCCCTCGTCTCGCGTTTCAATTCTCCACGAATCTTTCGTCGTTTCTATTCGAATTTGATTTTGCGGCATAATAGAATATTTCTAAGGTAGGAGAATATTTTCTCGTTGGGCTCTGCATTCGAAATCACTGCGTCTATCCTTTCGTTCGTGGTTGTCGAACCACATCTGCATCTCGACTTTCGCCGTTTTCGAGAATTTCGATGGATTCTTGGATGTAATCGCATTATCCATCTTGTGTAAAGGAATTTTCAATTTTTCACGAACGGAGAATGATTCGTAAGATAAACGCGAACGAATTTTATATTTTGTGTTAATTATTTGATTTTTGGAAATTCAATATATTAATCTGTATTTATTATAAAATGTTTTGAACGAATATGTTGAAGTTCCATTTCGTGAAAGAGATATTTTAATTTCTCTTTTTTAAGCTTATTTTATTGTCATTTGTATCATATAAATAGAATTTCGATCAAAAGATTCGTCCTTACGTTGCTATAGACTTTAATATGAATTTCTAGATTTCTTATATTTCAATTTCATTAGAAAGTTATTAATTTCTTATTTATAAAATATTAAATTTATAAATATTACTGTATAATAAGGAAAGTATTCCAAATTATTCTAATTTCTAATAAAAATAACAACAATACTTAACGATATTTTCGACTATTATCATTTTAAAAAAATACAATATTTTATCGTTATATCATTTAATAAATTGATACATACCGATTCTCTATCAAATCCAAATCTGCTCGAATGCAAACAAACATTTGATTACGTGTTCTTGAACTTTGGTTTAAAGATTTTTATGAGAAAATTACAGTTAGAATTGCACTTTGATTGACGACAGATGGACGCCATGTTTGATCGAGAATAGCTCGTAAGAGATTCGATAGATATTCGATAAATTTCGATATCGTATCGTATCGAAGAATGTTTCGATTTCTCGAATCTTCTCTCGATTGACGATCGAGAAAACGTTAAAATGCAATGAAGGATTCTTTTAATGAAAATTTAAGATATTTTGTAGCATGAATGTTAAATTAATTGAGTATGATCTGTTAGTAAGAGAAATTTCAAAATGTCTTTGAATTAAGAGATCAAAGGATCAAATACTGTTTGTGAAATTAGGATGAATCAAATAATACATTATACCGATGTATAGCCAATTTACGAAAGAGTTCAAAGTGAAGTTTTAATTTAGAAAAACTTTCTGTTAATTTAGAAGATTTGTAACGTACAAAAAGAAATTAGACCATTTATATCAATTTTCTCATTGCATTTAAATTAACAAAAGAGAGAAATTATGCCAAATTGCAAGGATACTTTACCAAAACATCCAAATCCTGAGTAAACGACGCAATTTCCTATATCACACACAACTCACTTTAATTAATTACACAAAACGTTTAAACATTCATACTCGTAATCATTCTATAAATAAAACTTGTCTCGTTCCATCCACTTAGAGCATTCTTAACCTCAAAGGCTTCCATGTAGTAAAGATATATGCATTAAACGCGACCAAGTTTCTAAGCAAAATTATTTAAACAGCTCCTTCGAAACAAGAATATGATAGAACATCGAGCCAACAAACGTTATTGTTAATGTTCGCGTCAGATTTTGAGAAATTCGCTATTTAAACGCAATATACCACGCTTCGATAATAAATGCAATAATATAACTAAAAAGATTCTAACGTTTTGAAGTATGCTACGAATCGCTGGTATTATCGCATTTTTGACACTAGTATAATCCAGTGACACGTGATCCAGATAGATCGGCAATCTCCGGTAATGATCGGTCACCATAGGGACCGAGAGGTGGGGGGCCTCGCCCTTTTTCCTTTGCAGATCAACTAAGCGCAGGAGCAACCGCGGCGCTGCAGGATGAAACATTAAGGTTGCGTTTGCGCCGATGCGTTCTGCCTTGAACTACTTCAATGAAGGATACGCGACGGCCCTCTGTGAAACATTGTGCAAGGCTTGACCTTTCGTCCTTACGTTGCTTTTATTCTTTTTTTTTTTTTTTTTTGTTTTTCT